ACATATATAAACGAATATAAACAAATATAAACAAATATAAACGGAGACAAGCATAGTACACAAATGCTACCACCAACACAGAAAAATACAGATAAAAATACAAAAGTAGAGATATGTGCTCATATTACCTGCTACGGGCAGAGTAGCCATTTGGGGTGTATATGCAGGTATTTGGGGTGTATATGCACGTATGTGGGGTGTATATGCAGGTATTTGGGGTGTACATGGAGGTATTTGGGGTGTATACGCAGGTATTTGGGGTGTATCTGGATGTTTTTGGGGTGTATATGCACTTATTTGGGGTGTATATGGACGTTTTTGGGGTGTATATGCACGTATTTGGGGTGTATAAGCACGTATATTACCTGCAACGAGAGGCGTGGCCATAGAAGTGCCGCTTTTGTATCCGTAGCGATCGCCGAATTGGCTGGCTGGCAATGTCGATATTATGTCCGTCCCAGGCGCAGCTATGTCCACGTTGTACCGGCCTTCATACAGCACCCATCATATATATATATATATATATATAATACAATAGGATGCTGCCGCTCCTTCGCCTGTTGCTGCTGAAAGGTGCTGCTGCTGCTCCCACTCCTGCTGCTGCTGCTGCTGCCGCTGCTGCAGTCGTTGGGCTTAATACATATAATACATATAGAGCACACGACCTGCTGAGCAGCCACGATGCTACTGGGAGTAAGAAAAGCAACAGCAGCGCCAGCAGCATCAGCACCAGCATCACCAGCAACATCACCAGCAGCATTATCATCATCTTTATCATCATCTTCACAATAAGCATCATCAGCAGAAAGACCACCAGCAGCAGCAGCAGCAGCAGCAACAGCAGCAGCAGCAGCAGCAGCAGCAGCAGTAGCAGCAGCAGGAGTGTTACCATAGTTAGAAGAGGCTGAGAGTTTGCCAGTGGGGGCTAAATTCGCTACGCGCAGCAAATTGCGAAATCCGCGGCCCGTACGCCAATCGTAACCCCAGTTAGGAGGAAAGTCTTTGCTCCTAGCAGCAGCAGCAGCAGCAAACGCAGCAGCAGCAGCAGCAGCAGCAAAAGCAGTGAGAGGAGGAGTAGGAGGAAGGATAGGAGGAGGAGGAGCAGCAGCACCAGCAGCCCGAGCAGGCAACAGCAGCGAGAGCAGCATCTGCTGCTGCAGCTGGCGCTATATGTGCTGCAGCTGCTTTTGCTGCTGCTTACGTGGTATTGTCTGCTCCTGCGTTGTCAACAGCAGCAACAAACAGCTGTCCCTGCGTCTCCGCCAACTCCAACGCGAGACGAAGGGCCTCAGAGCGAAACGAAAAGCCCCACGAGTTCGTGCTGACCTTGGCCCCCATCTGCAGCGAGTAAGCTATCGCCTCGACTGCAGCAGAGCTACGCTTCTCAAACTTCAGAGGCATCAGCTTCACGCGCCAGTTCGCGCCTGAAACACACCACACAGCAGCAGCAGCAGCAGCAGCAGCAGCAGCATTAGCAGCAGCAGCAGCGCATTACCAACAGTACCAATGCCACTACTATAAGCAACAGCAACAATTCCCCTGCAGCATCACAATCACCATCATCAACATCATCATCATCATCACCAGCAGCAACAGCAGCAGCAGCAGCAGCAGCAGCAGTAGCATACCTGCAATACCAATTCCATTGTTAGCAGCAGCAGCAACGATGCCCGCTACATGCGTGCCGTGGCCGTGGATGTCCATCGGGTCGGGCCGCCCCTGCTCGAAGTCGTAGCCGTCGTAGTCGTCCACATAGCCGTTGCCTTTGGACAAACAGCAGCAGCAGCAGCAGCAGCAGCAGCAGCAGCAGCAAATGTAAGCCTCATCATCATCATCGTCATTATCATTATTCCCGCCAGCAGCAGCATGTCTGACCATCATCATCATCATCATCCTCAGCAACATCCGCATCAGCAGCAGCAGCAGCAACAGCACAGCAGCAGCAGCAGCAGCAGCAGCCGCAGCAGCAGCAGCAAGCCTGACCGTCATCATCAATTCCGTTATTAGGAATTTCTTTGTGGTTTTTCCAGAGCCTTCCTTGGAGGTCTTCGTGTGTATAGTCAACGCCAGTATCTATGACAGCAACGACAATAGGTTCTTCACTAGACCTCACTGCTGCTGCTGCTGCTGCTGCTGCTTCTGGGTCGGATGATGCCTCTGCTGCTGCTGCTGCTGCTGCTGCTGCTTCGCGCTGCTGCTGCCGCCGTCTGTACACCAGACGCCACGCCTCCAGCATGTTACACCCCAGCGTCTTGTGCGTCAGCCCCCACTGTCTAGTGAAGTAAACGTCGTTGGGCCGGGGATCGTCTCTGGCGAGAAACTCCTCCCGCTGCTCGGTTATATCGTCGTCATCATACGCTTCTGCAGCAGCAGCAGCAGCAGCAGCAACAGCAGCAGCAGCAACAGCAGCAGCAGCAACAGCCGTAGCAGCAGCAGCAACAGAAAAACGAGCCCGTTACCAAAGGTTAGGGACACTGCAAATAGACAAGGCAGCTACACATTCTGCTGCTGCTGCTGCTGCTGCTGGTGTTGCTTCCTCACCGACTGCTGTCGGCAGGTCTAAGGCATCTTCAATTTCTGCTGCTGCTGCTGCTGCTGACTGGAGGCGTCGGACGTTGCCGCCATAGTTCAGCTGCTGCGGGGTTGCTGCAGAAGGGGGGGGGATCTGTATCTGCTGCCTGTAGCCGTCGTTGGGTTCAGGCCCTAGAGAAGCAGAAATAGATAGGGGAACAGAGGGGACAGCCCCCTTCTTGCTGCTGCTGCTGCTGCTGCTGCTGTCTTCGCGCTGCTGCGCCTTGAGTTTGGTTGGTTTCTGCTGCTTCTGGGGACGGGCACGCTGCTGCTGCTGCTTCTCTTCTTGCTGCTGCTGAGCTCGCAGTTTGTGCTGCTTCTGCTGCGGCCCCTCACGCTGCTCCTTCATAGGCTTGCTCTTGGTTTGTCTCAGCTGCTGCTGCTGTTTGCTGCTGCTGGTTCTTTCCTTTTTTGTTGCCGCCTTTGCATCGGTTTGGAGGGCCTTGATCTCCTGCTGCTTTTGCTTCCTCGCTGCAGTCTTCTCGAGTCGCTGCTGCTGCTGCTGCCTGGCCTTGCTGTTGCTGTTGCTGTTGCTGCTGCTGCTGCTGTTGTTGCTGCTGCTGCTGTTGCTAGCGTACATACTGTCTGTCTCCATAAGTTGGCGTGGGTTTTCTGCGTCTGCGCGGAAGGGCGATGTTGCTCGCCCCTCTTCCGCTGCTGCTTTTGCTGCTGCTGCTCCTCTTGCTGCAGCAGCAGCAGCAGCAGCAGGAGGCTCTCTTATTTTCACCTCTGAGTCTGCTTCTATAAGCCAAGCAGCAGGAGAACGCAACCATATATTTTTGACTGTCTCTTTTATCTGTGTCTCTGATGACTCTGGCTTGAAGTCAACAACCACCAACCCCACCTCCGGTAACACCTTCACGTCCCCTACCACCTGCTGCTGCTGCAGCTCCTCTGCATGTATTGCTGCTCTCCCCATAGCTTCAGCCTCAGCACGTGTGCTTATAGTCCTGCTGCTGCTGCTGCTGCTGCTGCTTTCTTGGCGCCGCTGCAGCAGCAAGTCAAAGTCTCTGTCTCCAGCCTGCAGGTCTGCCACCCCAATTATTATTCTCCCCTTCTGCTGCCCCGAAGTACGAGAAGCATCCACAGACCTGCAGCAGCAGCAGCAGCAGCAGCAGCAGCAGCAGCAGCAGCAGCAGCAGCAACAGCAGCAGCAGCAGNAGCAGCAGCAGCAGCAGCAGCAGCAGCAGCAGCAGCAGCAGCAGCAACAGCAGCAGCAGCAGCAACAGCAACAACAGCAGTAGAATGATTTTTAGCAAAGCCATCTGTATCTGCAGCAGCAGCAGCAGCTGCTGCTGCTGCATCGCACCACCTCTTCCACTCGTCCCAGCAGACCCCTCACCAGCAGCAACGGCAACAGCAGCAGCAGCAGCAACAGCAGCAGCAGCACCACCACCACCACCATCATAATCGCGCCCATGGTGAGCACACACCAACAAAACCAACAAGACAACAGCAGCAGCAGCAGCAACAAAAAAAAAAAAGAACAGCAGCAGCAAAAACTTTCTGGTTACCTCGCTATAGCTGCGCTTTGTCTTTCTATCTGTTCCTCGTCAGCAGCAAACAACTTATTGATCTGCTCCTCCAGCTCCTCCGCCGATATGTCTCCGTCTCTTCTTCTATCTAAGAAAGACTGCGGCACCTTCATAAAGCCCCCGCGGCTCTCGCTGTACGGACGACGCATAAGACACGGCACCGGGGGGGCGTCGTCGTCTGCTGCTGCTGCAGCTGCTGCTGCTGCTGCTGCTGATGATGATGGTGATGATGATGATGATGATGATGATGATCTGGATATACCTGCTGCTGCACCTGCGGGTGCTGCTGCTGCTGCTGCTGCTGCTGCAGCTGATGATGGTTCTCCTGCTTTGGGAGATGCAGCAGAGGATGAACCTGCTACTTCTGCTGCTGCTGCTGCTGCTGCTGCTGCGTCACCTGTTTCTGCATTGTCATTACCTGTTGCAGCGCTCAGATCGCCGGACTCCGATGCTTCTGCTGCTGCTGACTCTTCTGCTGCTGCTGCTGCTGCTTCTGCCTCTGCGGGCGCTGTACCTGTGTTCTCCTCTGCGGGGGAGACGGCGCCACCACTGCTGCTGCTGCTGCTGTCATTGTTGCTGCTGCTGCTGTCGCTGCTGCTGCTAGAGGCGTTGTCGCCATCTAGGCTCTCCCCTGCAGCAGCCAGGAGAATGTGAGGAGCTGAAGCAGCAAGGGGACCACTGCTGCTGCTGCTGCTGTTGCTGATAGGCTCTCGTAGCAGCAGTGTTGCTGCTGCTGCGAGCAGCAGCAGCAGCATGCGCTGCAGCCGCCTCCTCAGTTTCCCCATTTAGTACAATACCTTTCTCGAAAGACACGCGCTTCTGCTGCAGCAGTCACTGTTGCTGTTGCTGCTGCTGCTGCAGCTATGAAACGACTACCTTCAGTTTAGGTTTTGTAGATACAGTATACTAAAAAGAAAAGCGAAAGACCTGCGAAAGTAGCGGCAGCGGCTGTGCCTATCTCCTGCTGCTGCCGCTGCTGCTGCCGCTGCTGCTGCTGCTACTGCAGTTGCTGCATCAGGGTTTGCATGAAATCGAGTGGAAATAACCACACAACCCCACCCTAAAAAGTTGTAAGAGGGGAGGGGAAAGACAGAAACTCCGCAGGACCAACGAGCAGCAGCGCCATGCGGGGGCTCAGGGTCACCTGCTCAGCGCGAGCAGCAGCAGCAGCGGCTGCTCCTGCTGCTGCCGTTGCTGCTGCTGTGTTCTAGCAATTGTTGCCGCGGATGCCAGCGAATTAGGCTTGAAATAAATTTCTAACGATTTTTCAACGATAACATTCGCTTTATTTCAGAGTGAAAGGCAATATGTGCTGCTGTTCCGCTGCTGCTGCTGCCGTTGCTGCTGCTTGAGTCCGTGCTGCTGCTGCTGCTGCTGCCCCCACAGGGTCGTGGTGCTGTGTGTGGTGTCTGTTCTTCTTTTCTGTTTCTTTTGCTGCAGCAGAACCTAAATCTACTGCGTATATGAGCTGTCTGTACACCTCAACTTGTTCCCCTGCAGACACACCAAAGCCCCGACAGTGTGCATGCCCCTATCAAGCCTGTACGGGGTTCTTACCTGGGTGAGACTGTTTCTCAGGCTCCGCTAGCTGTAGCTCCGTTGGAGCGAGCCGCAGGCTCAGGGTTAACTAGCTAAGCGGCTAGTCAGGCGGCTAGCTACACAGGTAGCTACGCAGCTAGCTGCCCGCTATCTAAGCAGCTAGCTATTAGCCCCTGAGCTAATAGATAGCTACACAGCACCCATAGCTAGCTAAACCTGAGATACAGTCTCAGCCAGCTAGCGAGCCACACCCAACAGCTACCTACGCTTCAACAAGCAGCAGCTATCTACCACCAAAGGCAGATAGCTGCACTGCAACGGCAAGCACGTAACCAGGTCCGAGGAGGATACAGCTAGCTATATATGAGGATGCAGCTAGCTGCGTATACAGTGAAGACAGCTAGATACACCTGAACGGGTAGCAGCAGCTAGCCACGCCTCAAGAGACAGACGAAACAGCTAGCTACCCAGGGGCACTTAGCTGCTGCTAAAGAAGCTGATGGAGAAAGCTGCAGCGGGCCTGTCTCAACTCTGTCTCCCGTGTCTCTCGTCTCCCGTGTCTTTGTCCCTCATTTTTTTCTTTCTGTTACCTGCTTCTGTCTCCTCTGTTTGTAGCGGCGCTGCTGTCTGTCTTTGTCTTTTTTTGTTTTGCTTCTGCTGCTGTCTCCTTTCTGTCTACTTTCTCTCTGTCTGTCTCTACACCATTCACGGAGCCCCACGCCCACAAAACAAATGTTGGCGCTGCTGCTGCAGCAGCACCTGCACCCACGGTTGCTGTAGCAGCAGCTGCAGCTACTGTTGCTGCTGCTTCTGCTGCTGTTGCTGCTGTTGCTGCAGCTGCAGCAGCCTGCGTGTGGGCCGCGTAAGTGTGTCTGTCTAAATCCAACTGCCGCCTGAGCTGTCAGGCAGGGGGTTGTCTCTCTACAGTGGATCCGCAGCAAGTTCTGCTGCTGATGCTGCTGCTGCTGCTGCTGCTGCAGCTCATGCAGCGCATTGTGTGCCACTATTGCATCAGCAGCCAGTTCTGCTGCTGCAGCTGCTGCCACTGCAGCAGCCCATTGTATCTCTAGACTCCAAGACTATCAACTACTGCTGCAGCTTTCAGTTGCTGTTTCAGCTGATACTGCAGCAGCAGCAGCAGCAGCAGCCGCAGCAGGAGGAGGTAGTTTACTGTGTGAGTGCCTTGGAGTCAGTTGCCTGCCCCATCGCGTGCAGCCCGTTGTCTACATAAAGAGTCTCCCCCGTCACCGCCCGCGCGAGCGGAGACAACAAAAACAAAGCAGCGCGGCCGACGTCGTCGCTCTCCAAATCCTAAGACAAATACAACCATACACACACACACACACACATATATATGTATATATATATATATATATATATATATATATATATATATATATATATATATATATATAT